GCCACATGAGTTACCGTGCTGCCACATGAGTTACCGTGCTGCCACATGAGTTACCGTGCTGCCACATGAGTTACCGTGCTGCCACATGAGCTACCGTGCTGCCACATGAGTCACGGCAGTTCACCGCAGCTCGTTGGTTTTGTCAGTAGGCTCGAAGTCTACCGCTGAACGCCGGTAACTGGCTTGTTAATTAAATGATCGATAAGAATAATATTTCTATCACGGTTCAATCGCTTGTATTTTATTGCACTTGGTTTCTGTTCATTGTTCATTAGAACTCCACTTCACGTGGTTGAAACTTAATTTTATTTCAAAAGAATAGTTCTGAAGATGCACGTTTATAATGTTATTGCACGTGGTTTCTGTTCATTAAAACTCCAGTTCACGCGGTTGAAACTTAATTTTATTTCAAAAGAATAGTTCTGAAGAAGCACGTTTAAAATGGTAAAGTCAGCGTAAGAGACAAATTCATGATTCATACACTGTCAGGTAGTACCTCATTGTAGGGTTTGAAGGACACGACTGACTCCCTGCCTCACAGCCACTGTGACCTGACCTCGCTTGACATCACAGCTACGACAGAGATGTCTTATGTTACCGAGGAGGTAGCCTCGTCATGCGCTATTCTACAGATATATCCACTTGCTGCATATACTGGAACATGAGCATGATATGAATCAACGAAAGCTGACATTGAAATGATTGGTAACAGTGAATGATCACCATCGTTCACAACACTTTAGGTATAAACTAAAACTAAATGATACACATACATGAATGCCGAAAAATAATGAAATATTTCTATGCAGAGATTTTTTTTATATTACCGCATAAGTTACTGTCACCCCTTACAGGAGCTGCCAGTCACCCCCATCCCCCCAGCAGCGCGGGGGTGAGCGTCAGCAGCAGCCCACTGCCCCACTGCCCCTCCGCCATCCTCGTGCTGGTCCTACACGCGGGCTCCGTCCTGGAAACTCCCTCCGGTGACCCACCTTCTCTCTCTTTATACACGCGATATTACGTGGCTTTTTCTCATATTGCTCATCCTGCATACATCTTTTCATTGTATAGTCTCATCCATTTTGTCTGGACGAATATCATTCTTCTAAAAAAAGTGCTCATTGCAACCAGGTGCCTCTAGGTACCTGGTACCAGGTGTCTCTAGCTACTAGGTACTATGCATATCTAGGTACCAGGTGCCTCAAGGTACCTGGTACCATGCATATCTAGGTACCACGCGCCACGCACCTCTAGGTACCAGGAGCCTCCAGGTACCAGGTGCATCTGGGTACCGTGCACCTCTAGGTACTACCACGCACCTGTAGGTACCATGCACCTCTAGGTACCATCCACCCCAAGGTAAAGGTACCATGTACCACTGACATGGTTGTGTTGCAGAGTGCAGCAGTGCAGGCAGCGACCTGGCCACCTTCAGACACGTGTTCGAGGGCGTGGTGCGGCAGCAGTACCCTGTGCTGGCGGGGGGCGGTCTCGCCTTCAGACTCGTGCCTGCTGAGACCTTCACCGCGTCTGCCCTGCACACTCTCACCACGTGAGTCACGGGCATGCGTGGCACGGGTATACGTGTCACGGGCATGAGTCACGGGCATGCGTGTCACGGCGTCTGCCCTGCACACTCTCACCACGTGAGTCACGGGCATGCGTGGCACGGGCATACGTGTCACGGGCATGAGTCACGGGCATGCGTGTCACGGCGTCTGCCCTGCACACTCTCACCACGTGAGTCACGGGCATGCGTGGCACGGGCATACGTGTCACGGGCATGAGTCACGGGCATGCGTGTCACGGCGTCTGCCCTGCACACTCTCACCACGTGAGTCACGGGCATGCGTGGCACGGGCATACGTGTCACGGGCATGAGTCACGGGCATGCGTGTCACGNCATAACAGTGACCACTGCACACCACTAACTGCTGCATAACAGTGACCACAGCACACCACTGACTGCTGCATAACAGTGGCCACTGCACACCACTGACTGCTGCATAACAGTGACCACTGCACACCACTGACTGCTGCATAACAGTAACCTTATGAATGACCTTATGATGAGTTCGGGACTTCCTAGTCCCCGGTCACGCTGATGCGCCGCCTTCGTCGTCCTCCGTCTCCGAGTCGTCGCTAGGCAGGTCACCTCGCCCTCGGGTCCCGGATGTAACGTTGGACGTGTTCCGTCTATTTGCCCTCATTTGGGCCAGCTGATGCAAGATGCTGTTGCTTGTCACTTGCTGAGGGTAGTTTCCCATAACTGGACAATCCGGGATCTTTCTCAATCAATTGTCCAGTCGTCTCTTGGATGTTGCAAAGGTGAACTCCCCTCCTCTCAGCTCTTTTGGCAAGGCATTAAAGACCCTCGGTCCTACCACGGACAGTGATCCCTCACGAAGAGTCTGTACTCTGGCCGCGGCTCGGTTATTAAATGGGGGAATCCTGCACAGTCTCCCCCCTCTTTCGTTGTAATATGTCATTATTTTGGAGGTCTCACTCTCAAAGTTGGGGGCCAGTCCGTTTATCATCTTCCAAGTGTACAGTATGATGTACCTTTCCCTTCTTCTCTCCAGTGAGTACAGTTCCAGGTGTTTCAGCCTTCCCCAGTAGTTCAGGTTCAGCTCCCTCATGCCGCTGATCCTGTACGTGAAGGTCCGCTGCACTGCCTCCAGTTTCCGCACTGCACCCGCCTTGAGTGGCGACCAAAGCTGGCAGCAGTACTCAAGATTGGGGAGCACGAGGGCTCTGAAGAGTGTAATCATTGGTGCTGCTTCTCTCGTTCGAAATGTCCGTCATATCCACCCCATCCTTTGCCGGCTGCGCGCGACTATTTCCTCGATATGGGCATCGAACGTGGCTTCAGTACTCTCGAAACTCCGAGATCTCGAACTAGTTGCTTCTCCTCAATTTCTGTGCCATCTGATGCCAAGTAGCAATGTGGCATCCCGGGCAGGTACTTTCAAAACATTGCTAAGTGCTCGTAACGGCTTGAGTGCAGCGTAAGTCCGCTAAGTGCTCGTAACTTCAAATAATGGTACCTTCAAAACATTTTGCGGTACGTTACGAGCACGTAACTTTACGCCGATTCAAAGGTCGCGTAAGTGGAGTGACAATCAACTGTTGAGTGAGTGAAGCGATTGGTAATCATTTAGTTACTAGTATCTAGTCTCTAATAGTGTCTGGACTAGTGTAGGTATCATACTAGTGTCCAGACTTTAGTATCTTTTTAAGGTAAATCCTCTAATTTTGATTTAGAAAATATCCTTATTCGATATTAAGAAAATTTGATTAGTCATGTATTAAATGAATTTTTTCTTAGTATACGGTATATCAACAGAAAACGAATCTGACGGGTGAAGCTAAAAAATGAACTTACTAAAATTCTATTCTCGTTGTTCATTCTGTCATATTAATCACTAAATAACAGTTTGCTATCTTAAAACGGCATTTGTCATCAAAATATTAGATTAAAAGAGTCTAGAATTCTTTAAAAATAGACAAAATTTTTAAGTAACTGAACACAGAAGCATGGCGTCATGTGGCGTCATGTGACTCATAATGTAAACAAAGGATGTAAGCGAGCTTGTGATTGGCTGACATGCAACATGGTTTGAAGGTACGGTCTTAGCAAAGTCGGTCGTACGAAAGTTTTGAAGGTGTCAAAAAACGCTGATCGTACGCCAGACGTACCTATCTTCTTGAGCTTAAGTTCAAGAACTTACGTACACTTGGCAATGTTTGAAAATACCTGCCCTGATCTCTGTGCGGACTCTGTATCTCATTACTTCGAACTTGGTGCCGTTGAATTGCATATTGTTCATTAGGGCCCAATCGTAGATGATAGGGCCCAATCGTGACCACTGCACGCCACTGACTGCTGCATAACAGTGGCCACTGCACACCACTGACTGCTTCATAACAGTAACTGCTGCACACCACTGACTGCTTCATAACAGTAACTGCTGCACACCACTGACTGCTTCATAACAGTAACTGCCCTGCAGGCTGAGCGGGAACTTCAGCGGGGACGGGTGGGTGCCTGTAGGGGCGCTGCCCGTGGTGGCCGAGGGCACGGCGGCCTACGCGGAGGCCGTGGCCAGCACTGCGGCCTCCCTACAGGCCGCCTACAGGGACTTCCTCAGCTCCTCTGACGGCATAGGCTTCACGGGCCACGTCTGTATTGTGGGTGAGCAGAACACTTGAGCGTGGCCGTGGGCTGTTACACTGCCGTGTATTTCGGTTGTCTCTGCTTCACGTGGTGCTCGTTATGGCAGACTTTTGTCCACGTAACGTCGCGACTGACGGCGCTAATTAATATATAACTAGGATTTATGATATTAAGTTTAAATTGCCATTTTTAACTGCGAGGCAAAACTTGAGTGAACTTCAGAATCCCTCGGTTGTTTTTCTTCTGTTTATTATTATTTTATTTGTGAACGATAGAAATTGTCATTCCCAAATTTACTTTGTTCTAATTATTAATTTATAATATTTTACATGCATCACCCTCTGAATTACTTCTATTTACGAGGTAGCGCGCATTAAGTAATCACGCCATATACATTGACATTGCATTAAGACCTTTGAGCTGCGCGACAGCGGATGGCCGTGATCTGCGGCAGCAGCAGCAGCCACATAAACTGTTTAAACGTTATCTATTCTGATTCTAATCCTTCGTCGTTGTAACGGCTATGTACACGTAAGCCATTGAAGAAGCTTGGCTGAGATTTTAATTAACATAACATAACATAGTGATCTCGGCGCTGAAGTGTAGGCCTGATGTGGCCTGTCGCCGATTCTTTTCCTTTTCGTGCCCTGTTCATAGAAGATCTAAAATCGTGTCATTTGACCGGATCTTTTCATGACTGACGATAGTTTGAAGTAGCTACTATACTTCCACCGAGTTCGATAAGGTGCTAGGCATTTCAAATCTGAACATATATTTTTCCATAGCTTTATCTAGTCTGTTCTTGAACGCGTTCATACTCGGTGCGTCAACAATGTCATCGGGTATTAGCGAGTATAAACGAGGCATAGCTTTAACTGAAGTTGAGCATAGCCTCAAAGTTCTATAATGGTTCCGATGCTTGAGCTGTAAATGCTCGATTGTATCCTGACGAGAGCAGTCATAGGTAAACTATGAGAGTTTACATTTTATTCCAGTTGGTATCAGTCTAGAGCTCAGGCGCGTTGACATATTCTTCATAATTGTAAACCTACATTATTTCTCATCATGTCTAATATATCTTGACAGTGTATGGTAATCTCCTGACTGTTACTCGATCAATTAGTGTGGCGATGTTTTCTGATGTTTTTTATTTTACTGCATATTGTTGTGCCGACATTACAGTTATTGTATGGCAGCCGTGATTGCATTACAGTTTTTGTATAGTACAAAGGATTACATTACAGCTCTTGTATGGTACACAGGAGACTGTGTGGCTGGGCTGTTGCTCTACGATGTGCTGTGTCAGGACACATCAGCGGCCGACGACCCTGCGTGGGGTGAGTGCCCACTCTGCGCCCACTCCCCCCTAATACAGCGCCCACTCGCCCCCAACACAGCGCCCACTCTCCCACAACACAGCGCCCACTCTCCCCTAACACAGCGCCCACTCTCCCCAACACAGCGCCCACTCTCCCCAACACCTGTCTCTTATACACATCTAGATGTGTATAAGAGACAGCCATCGTTCACAATTAAGTTAATGCTCGTGATTAAAACTTGTAAAATTTATATGGTATTATGTATGCGTAAGCAATCCATTTGAGTGACAAAAATGACAAAATCAATTTATAGGAAATACAAGTTTTAGGATAATTTTGTATGCACATATTCTACTTTCGATCAAGACTAATAAAACGAGTAAATTAAAGACTTGCATATTATCTTTCAGAAGCCTTCCACGTCAAAGCGGAAGTGTTCCCGGTGCAATGAAACAGGGCATTACAGGAATAAATGCCCCATACCCTTGACATCGAAGCGAAAATGCTCCCGGTGTCATCAAACGGGGCATTATAAAAATAAATGCCCCATGAAGACTATTGAAGGGGAGCCAGCGACAGCAGCTCCCATTGAACCATCCATTTTGACTTGTATAGTAAAATAAATATGCATGTGTCTCAAGCTAGATATAGAGGAATAGATATGTAAAAAAAATATTGCCTCCCTTTTTAGAACACAGCATTTTGTCNCAACACAGCGCCCACTCTCCCCCAACACAGCGCCCACTCTCCCCTAATACAGCGCCCACTCGCCCCCAACACAGCGCCCACTCTCCCACAACACAGCGCCCACTCTCCCCTAACACAGCGCCCACTCTCCCCAACACAGCGCCCACTCTCCCCCAACACAGCGCCCACTCTCCCCCAACACAGCGCCCACTCTCCCCCCACTCAGCGCAATATCACAGACTTCTCCTAGTCCCACATCTTCATTAGGTTTGTATATGAAGGCTCAGTTCGTTGTTTATCTCTGCTGATTTGAATTAACATTTTTTATTATTCCATAGATCTTCTCGTCAGCAAGTTTTGTTTGCTGCAGTTCCTTCAGTTATATTTACCAAATTCGTTGCTAAATTCGCTACTGATTAATTATATTAATTTAACCTAAATTGTGCCTTGATTATCTCACTAAATTTCACGCAACGCAAAATTTCAGTTAACGTAAGCCCAGTGAGACGCAATACTCGCGTTCATTGAACACTTATGTTGGGTAATATCCTCCTGTATCCTCCACCTGGACAGTAGGACGGCTCGTGTATCCTCCACCTGGACTGTAGGACTGCTCGTATCCTCCACCTGGACAGTAGGACGGCTCGTGTATCCTCCACCTGGACTGTAGGACTGCTCGTATCCTCCACCTGGACAGTAGGACTGCTCGTGTATCCTCCACCTGGACAGTAGGACTGCTCGTGTATCCTTCACTTTCATCCTCCTGAAGTCAACGCGTTTGAAGGCTCTCAGTATCAACGTCTCATGTTGATTTTTGGTGACATTTGTGTGTCCGAGGTTCTTGATCCTACAACCTGACCCTTGAGCTCCCTACCCTTTCCTCCCGTTTGATCCTGTGAGGCCACACGGCCTAATGTGGCCTCTTTAAAGAAAGTCTTGCCTCTAATTCGAGGCATTATCTCCTAATTGCCTAATACCTGATGGCGCGTGAGGCGTGGCCGTGAGGCATGAGACAATCTTGTGTGGCCTCGCCGCCACTCCCCCCACCGCAGGCTGGGGGGCGCCGCGCCACAGTCCGCTCGCCAAATCTGTCTCTGCCACATCAGGGACCTCCAACTCCGGCAGAATGTCTTCCCAGCTCAGGCTGCCTCCCCAGCAGGGCCCTGGTTCCTCCCAGGAGATGGGTTCCGGCCCCCCTCCTTCACCCACCATCCTCATTCACAGTGACGACCCCAATGAACTTTCACGCAAATTATCGTTGGACGATCATCGTCATCCGAGCCTCCATCATCGCAGCCCTTCGTCAGCTGATCGTCGTAGTCCGTCGTCGACAGACCGCCGTACATCGTCGTCTGTAGACAACCAAAGTTGGTCTTCGTCGGACCAACATACGCCTTCGTGCAAAGATGAACGCAAGATCTCTTCACGCGACCAAACATTTGCCGCGTCGCAGTTCAGCTACGATGATCCCACCGCCAGGACCCTGACCTCGCAGGACCTGCTGCCGCCGTCGCAGGATCAGATCCTGCGTAAGGTGTCGGCGCCCCTGCCTGTCATCCCCTCCATCTGCTGCTCGGTGCTGCCCCGAAAATCCTCTGCCCCCTGTGCGGGTGCCCACGCTGGAGGGCAGCAACAGCAGCAGCAGCTGTTGCAGTTGCGGCAACTGCAGCCTTCCTTGCCTACGAGCAGCTGTATGCAGCGCCCTATTGCTGCAGGTGGGCGAACGACTGCACTTATGTCTGCAGTAGTCTGTCTGCAACTCGACTATTCTGCATAACCTCGTCTGCAGTTGTCAGTCCGCAACCCAACTGTTATGACTACTTACGTCTGCATTAGTCAGTCTGCATCCCTAATGCGTGCCCGCCTCATTGCTCCTGGCTTGAATGTATTGAGCTTCTTAATTTGTAGGCTAAAGTATCTACAGATTGTGATCGCGTAAATGCCGGAATGTTCTTTCATAGTCAGACTTACAGTCTATTGGTAGTCCATCGAAAATTTGAATATTATTTATCCTTTTGTTGCAGTGTGGTGTGAACGTTGCAGAGTGGTGTGAACGTTGCAGTAGAGAAGTGTTAAGCGATGTCTGCACGTTTACTTTTGTGCGTAAAGAATAAAACCCGGTCATATTTCCCCGAAAATATCGCCGATGCATCTCCGCTCTTCCTTGCACATGCTTTGATATGATTGTGTCATCATGTTAAGATAGATGAAAGATCTAAAAAAGAAATATAATGCAACGGGCATTCGAATAGTTTAGTATGGGCGCTGATCATTGAGGCGGTGCTTTAGGAAATAGGTTCAGGTTAGGTAGACGTGAAAAGTTTCAATGCTCATGCGTTCGCCTAATGGCACCAATGCGCATGCGCTTCGCCTAATGGCAGCAATGCGCATGCGTTCGCCTAATGGCAGCAATGCGCATGCGTTCGCCTAATGGCAGCAATGCGCATGCGTTCGCCTAATGGCACCAATGCGCATGCGTTCGCTCAATTCCATCAATATGCCCATGCGTAAGATCGTTCTTTGTGCCTATTGTATTTTGGCCGCGCCTGCCTCACGTCCTAGTCGTTCTTCTCACTGTCTTCCGCGCTCTTGCATCGCGGACGATCCCACTTAGATTTATCGACTGGTTAGTATTGAACTGCGAGGCATGTTTTTTAAGTCAGTACCGTTTTGGAATTAGAAAAATACGTGCAAAGATATCGCAATAATTTTATTTTCACATGAAAGCCTGTACCTCTACTTTTCTACATAATTTCCTTGAATATTGACGCACTTGTCATAACGTGGCTCCAGTTTTTGAATACCCTCCTGATGAAATTCTGACGCCTGACTTGTTAACCACGGCATCACAAATGTTTTGACTTCGTTATCGTCTTGAAGACTCCGACCGCCCAGGTGTTTCTTCAAGTGCAGTGTGATGCATTTGATGCAGTGTGATGCATCACACTGCACACTTCATTTGTGATGCAGTGGTTAACAAGTCAAGCAGCAGAATTTTATCAGGAGGGTATTAAAAAACTAGTGCTACGTTATGACAAGTGCCTCAATATTCACGGAAATTATGTAAGAAATATAACTCAGTACTCACTGCAGTGAGTGATAGAGAGCGCATTTTCTCGTCGACGAAAACGTGAGGTCACGGACGGACAGACGGACAAATGGCGAGCACAATAGTGCATTTTTTTCATAAATAAGAAAATGCGCTAAATAGTATATTAAGGTACAGGCTTTCATGTTGAAATAAAATTATTGCGATGTCTCTACACGTCTTTTCTTACTTCCAAAACGGCACTGACTTGAAAATCATGCCTCGTATTCAAATTCAGTAACTTCAATTATGGTCTACAGCTGTCCACATACACATAATTAATGGTCAGAATTATTAATCTTTTTCGCTTATTTTCATCTAACGTAATCTTATCATATATTGTTCAACATACATAGTTTTCTATTGATATTCAGCGTTTTTTTGTCGAATTTAATTGAAGCCATAATATTTTCCACGTGTATGTTTCAAAGAATCATCGAAGTATATTCGAAGGAAAAGCGTTAAGAGTGAAAATTCTGTCGGTGAAATTGGACTTTAACTCCACCCAATTGGTCGTTTCCTCTATAAAGTTATGTTTAAAATTCGATAGGAGACTTTTCTCTTGAGACATCCGACGTATTTAATAGATTGTCTGCAATACTGCATCATTATGCGAGGTTCCTTTTAATATCTGAATTAATCATACGAATCGCTGTAAATGAAGCATTTTTTACATTTTTCCCATCGCTTTTTGCTTGCTTGCCCGGCATGAGACGTGCGACAAATGCTCACCACAGCTGTGACTGCTACAGCTGCTCACCACAGCTGTGACTGCTACAGTTGCTCACCACAGCTGTGACTGCTACAGCTGCTCACCACAGCTGTGACTGCTACAGCTGTTCACCACAGCTGAGCCGCCTGTTCGCCCCCAGTGCTGTTCACAGTCACTTGTGTCTCGCCTGGTCCACTAGGCGCTAGTGCACAGTGCTTGTGCTATGTTCATCACATATACATCATTGTTCCCTGCTCGTGCATATTGTATGAGTACACGCCGCTCATTCATGAACTTGGTGCATAATATACCGCTTGCGCTTGTTGATTAAATATTACATGCATTGTTTTACTATGCTAAAAGTAATCTATTGTAATTTTAGAATATGCACTGTTAGAAAAAACGGTGAAAAAACGGTCCCACTGGCATTCTAGTGGCCGGTCGCCCCGTGAAAATAAACTGTTTTGCCGTTTTTATCAGATGTTTTACGGATTTCTAGTGTTAAATTAGAATAAAAACGGCGACACGGTGTTTCTTTTCACGCACAGACCGGCCACTGAAACGCCGGTATAATACCGTTAACGGTAATTTTTCTAACAGTGTGTACACTGTAGATTAATAACCGTAGAACGCTGTAAAGTAGTAAAATGGAGTGTAGCATATATTTCTGATGTATCTGATCCGCATTTTTGAACAATGTTGTGTGCGTGTAGTGAACCCGCGTGTACAGTCATGCGTCATGCACCAACAGCTTGACAAAATCAAATAGCCTATGAAACTAGCACCTTTAACATATAGATTCCCAGATTCAAAAATATAACTCAGTACTCACTGCAGTGAGTGTCAGAGAGCGCATTTTCTCTTCGACGAAAACTTGAGGTCACGGATAGACGGACAGACGGACAGACGGACGGACGGACGGACGGACGGACGGACGGATGGACGGACATGGCGAGCACAATAGCGCCTTTTTTGCATAAATGAGAAAATGCGCTAAAAATAGGGCAATGTATATATCATTGTAATTAAGTTGGCTCTGACAATTTATGTGAGCAATACAATAATGAATGAATTGTCTCAAATAGTGTATTGAATGTTTATATTTTTGAAGCATTTGTAAATTGGCTTTGTTAGTACGGTATATATATATTGTAACAAATTGCCACGTAATGTAACGTGTAACTTGTATCGTCAATACCGTGTACCATCATGCATAATACCTGGTTGTGTGCTTCTGTATAGCTGTATACGCCATGTATAGCTGTATACGCCCTGTATACCGTAGCTGTATACGCCCTGTATATCGCCTGTATGAGAAATAGAGCTCACTTGAAGACGCATGGCCTCAGGCCGTGACTGCATGTTCACGCATTCATTCATGCAATGTATTCAATCGTGCAGTTCATTCACTCATGCAATGAATTAACTCATGCAGTTCATTCACTGTGCAATGAAAATAAGTTTGAACATCACAGTCCTCGTGACTAACTCATGGACGCTGAGTTATACATTCTATACATTCATATACATTCTTAATTGGTTCATCCTTCCTCTGCATTCTCTTATAGTTTAGTCATAAACTTATATTCACATGCGATTATAAACATTAATTTTCTCCATTTAAATATCATATTTCCTTCATTTAAATCTCATTTATCTTCCCTCATATTTGTTTTGTTATTATCCTTGAAGCATGTCAAGAGTATTTATTTAGTTGGTGCTCCTGAGTTTACTGTTATTGATTCTTGTTCTAATAATGATTTTCTCACGCAGCGATCGAGTTTTCCTAAGCAGCGGACTCATACATTTCTCAAACACTCAATAAATTTTATGGTTGAAACTTGCAGGCTCCTTTTTTTCTCTTCGTGGAATTTCTTGAAGAGTAATTAAAAAAAATTGTGAGAGGAGCTAAATCCCATGGAATATACTTAAATTTTTAGCTGAATCACCGTGTAGCTGCTTAGCTGTATAGCTGTATATTCAAATAGCTGTATAACCCTGTATAAGTTCTTATAGCCCTGTATGTAAGGTTTCTGCCGGTCTTTACGCTGTCTTTTCTGTTTTTATTGCTTGTCTTGTGTTATTATTCATTTATTCGTTCACGCGCTTCAGCGACATTTTGTAATGGTTACTATATACACTTGTTTAGCTTTTGGTTCCCTCTAGTACACAATTATTTGTTTAGAGCCGTCGCCCTTGACGTCAAAACGTGTGACGTGTTGTGTCACAAACAAAATGTGTTCAGTTTCAAGCCACCAAAACGAAACTCCATGATATTATTCCATGCTGAACCATGAGATGTTTAAATACAATGCTCAAAAATAATCATCTATAATTACCTATAGAAACATTGGTTTTTTAACTCCATACATTTCACTAATTTTTTTCAAAAATGTCACTACTATTTTTTGGCAATGAAAAATTAGGTCTAATTAAACGCTATCAAATCAATAATATTAATTAGCAACATGGCGGAGTGAGAGGAAAATGAAGATGGTATTTTTAGCGTTGTTTCAGAAGAGGGACAGGCCATGTCTTTCTAATAATGTTTATCATGTACGTATAGTTCGTACCTATAACAAAAACCTGTGCCCATATAACTCATGCTTACGTTAAAAATGCATAATTTAGCTCGACTTCAATGCATAATTTTCTATTTAACGCTGGCAGACACGGCCAGCGACTTTTAACCCAGATGTTATTTCAGTATTGATATATTATCATTAACTGTATTCAAATGACGTATGTTGAATTTATTCACGATGAATTCAGACCGAGATGAATTGGTGCAGGTGAAGGATCGCATCCTGGCGGGGGCGGCGCCCCCCTCACCCGTCAGCTCAGCGACCAGTCAGGCCTTCTGAACAGCCCCCGCCGCCGGGGGGGCGGTGGTACCAGGTCAGCTAGTTAGTCTACCTAGACATTACCTTAACTAGTCTAATGTTTGACTAGCTTAACTAGTCTAATGTTTGGTTAGCTTAACTAGTCTATTGTTTGACTAGCTTAACTAGTCTGTTGTTTGACTAGCTTAACTAGTCCGTTGTTTGACTAGCTTAACTAGTCTGTTGTTTGACTAGCTTAACTAGTCTGTTGTTTGGTTAGCTTAACTAGTCTATTGTTTGACTAGCTTAACTAGTCTGTTGTTTGACTAGCTTAACTAGTCTGTTGTTTGACTAGCTTAACTAGTCTGTTGTTTGACTAGCTTAACTAGTCTGTTGTTTGACTAGCTTAACTAGTCTGTTGTTTGACTAGCTTAACTAGTCTGTTGTTTGACTAGCTTAACTAGTCTGTTGTTTGACTAGCTTAACTAGTCTGTTGTTTGACTAGCTTAACTAGTCTGTTGTTTGACTAGCTTAACTAGTCTGTTGTTTGACTAGCTTAACTAGTCTGTTGTTTGACTAGCTTAACTAGTCTGTTGTTTGACTAGCTTAACTAGTCTGTTGTTTGACTAGCTTAACTAGTCTGTTGTTTGACTAGCTTAACTAGTCTGTTGTTTGACTAGCTTAACTAGTCTGTTGTTTGACTAGCTTAACTAGTCTGTTGTTTGACTAGCTTAACTAGTCTGTTGTTTGACTAGCTTAACTAGTCTGTTGTTTGACTAGCTTAACTAGTCTGTTGTTTGACTAGCTTAACTAGTCTGTTGTTTGACTAGCTTAACTAGTCTGTTGTTTGACTAGCTTAACTAGTCTGTTGTTTGACTAGCTTAACTAGTCTGTTGTTTGACTAGCTTAACTAGTCTGTTGTTTGACTAGCTTAACTAGTCTGTTGTTTGACTAGCTTAACTAGTCTGTTGTTTGACTAGCTTAACTAGTCTGTTGTTTGACTAGCTTAACTAGTCTGTTGTTTGACTAGCTTAACTAGTCTGTTGTTTGACTAGCTTAACTAGTCTGTTGTTTGACTAGCTTAACTAGTCTGTTGTTTGACTAGCTTAACTAGTCTGTTGTTTGACTAGCTTAACTAGTCTGTTGTTTGACTAGCTTAACTAGTCTGTTGTTTGACTAGCTTAACTAGTCTGTTGTTTGACTAGCTTAACTAGTCTGTTGTTTGACTAGCTTAACTAGTCTGTTGTTTGACTAGCTTAACTAGTCTGTTGTTTGACTAGCTTAACTAGTCTGTTGTTTGACTAGCTTAACTAGTCTGTTGTTTGACTAGCTTAACTAGTCTGTTGTTTGACTAGCTTAACTAGTCTGTTGTTTGACTAGCTTAACTAGTCTGTTGTTTNGTGTTGTGTCAAGAGACGTGTTGTGTCAAGAGACGTGTTGTGTCAAGAGACGTGTTGTGTCAAGAGACGTGTTGTGTCAAGAGACGTGTTGTTTCAAGAGCCATGTTGTGTCAAGAGACGTGTTGTGTCAAGAGACGTGTTGTGTCAAGAGACGTGTCAAGAGACGTGATACGTTGACGTCTCGTGCAGGCTGGAATACGAGACGTGCGACGTGTTCCTGCTTGGCTGCCCGCTGGCGCTGGTGCTCCTCAAGCGCAAGATGATCTGCACCACGCACTACGGTGGGTGCTCTGCACCGTCGGGACGGCGTCGTCTGCTGGTGGTTAATTTGAACCTTGCAACGTGTGCACTGACATACGTCATCATATACCTGTCTCTTCTCCTCTCCAGCGACTACAGTTCACACTGCCCCAGTAGTTCAGGTTCAGTTTCTTCATGCCGCTGATCCTGTACGTTAAGGTCCGCTGCACTGCCTCCAGTTTCCGCACCGCATCCGCCTTGAGTGGTGACCAAAGCTGGCAGCAGTATTCCAGAGTGTGGAACACGAAGGCTCTGAGAGGAATTATGCGCTCAAAGGAAATGGTTTAATTAGAGCCACGATCTTCGTGAGGGAGAGCAGCCGTTGACCATAAATTTAATTCTCATACTTGCCCTGTAGCCACCGCGCAGCCTAAACATGCACAGCTACACTTGGTCACAGAGCTACGATGCCTCAAACCACGCTAGTAACACTGCAAGCCGCACCAGGGCCTATACTTTCCAAAAAAGTTGAGAGATTGTATGTTCATGAACGAATCATTGACGGCCTTTTAAGCAAAATCCACCAATCATAGACCAGAAAATAGAGCGTAAGTACTTACGTTCACTTAGCGATTTTTGAAAGTATGGCCCCAGTTCCTCTAAGGTTTAAGCCAAAGCGTCATAAGCCTGCAGCCACTGCTCAAGCCAGTATAGCCTTCATGGAGGCTACATACTAGCATTATAGTACCTCCACACTTGCCCCGACTTTCCACATAAACAAACCTCTGTGTGGACCTAAACTAACCTCATTAGCTGACGCAATTTGGGAGTCGGGGTAATTGTGGAGATAATCCAATTCTTGGGCGTAGCCTCCGTGAAAACTTTAGAGACTAGGCTAGTAGCTGCGGGCGTACGGCGCCTATGGCTCAAAACGCCTAACTTTACAGGCTACTAATATGAATATCCTATCGATATTGAAAACGTTTCGGAGTCCAGCTCCATCATCAGTTCGACTAAACTAAAATGAATAAAATCACTTTAAAAATCAAAATTCAAAGAAAGACATAAAACCTAAACAAGACCTAACATTATATCGAAATAAACGGGACTAGTTATGAACAACTTAGTCCTAGGGGGACGACAAGAATATAAAATCCTAGCGATTTACTATTTCCAGATTATATGAGCTAAACGCATTATTGAGACATGGTTTTCTTGGCGAATTTTTGCTTGGTGAATTTTCTTGACGTTTTCTTTGCTTTTAAATTCCTTATGAACTTGCGATTTAAGCAGACTAATGATATAAGTACTTATGAATATCCTATTTCATATAGGACATTGAAGGGACTTGTGTAAGGATTAATAGTCTCGATGCTGGTCACTAACCTGCATCTCTTCCCTGACAGTGCCAGCACGGCCACGGTGTCAGCAGCTCTACAACCTCTTCCATCCCACTGACCCGCTGGCACTGAGACTTGAGCCGCTGCTGGCACCCCGCCTGGCAGCGCTGCCTCCTGTCATCATCCCGCGCTACACCAAACACCCACTCGGCGACTCCCAGCCCACTCATCTCCGTAAGCTTGTCCAGCCCACTCACCTCTGTAAGCCTTCCCAGCCCACTCATCTCCGTAAGCCTTCCCAGCCCACTCATCTCCGTAAGCCTTCCCAGCCCACTCACCTCCGTAAGCCTTCCCAGCCCACTCACCTCCGTAAGCTTGTCCAGCCCACTCACCTCCGTAAGCTCTTCCAGCCCAATCACCTCCGTAAGCTTGTCCAGCCCACTCACCTCCGTAAGCTTGTCCAGCCCACTCACCTCCGTAAGCTTGTCCAGCCCACTCACCTCCGTAAGCTCTTCCAGCCCACTCACCTCCGTAAGCTTGTCCAGCCCACTCACCTCCGTAGAAAGTCCCTGGCGTCAAGTCTCATTCATTTGTGATTTTTTTTGGGGGGGTGGGGAGTGGGCAAATATTTTAATCGTGTAGATATCTTCAGGTATTATTTGCAAAATTTTATATTCCAGAATTTGATGATCAAGTCTAGAACTCCAAATGATATCAACAATGAAGTGCAGAGTATTTATCTACCGTAAAGTTGTAGCAACGGTACCAAGATTTTTTGATTGTTGGAATCGCAAATTCGCCAGAAATTCGAAATCAAAGATAAAGAATCCACATTAAATTTGTTAATGATATCAAAAGAAAACTGATAACAAAGATTGTCATCTTTTAAGATTTCGTGCATTATTTTTTCTATTTTAATTATCGTAGTTAGCGTTTTAGTTGCAAATATTAGTCATTAAATTAGTAACGCGTTGCAGTGGAGTACATCCAGCGGCAAGGTGGCCTGCTGAGCGACCCCCCCAGCAGCAGCGGCGCGCCTCTCCGTAGGTCCTCAGACGCCTCCCTCACCAGCACCGTGTCTGGCCTCGCTGACACTCAGGCACTCGCTACTGGCACTGCCTGTACGTTGTGGCACTACACTGCCAGCACTTACCCTGACACTCAGACACTCGCTACTGGCACTGCCTGTACGTTGTGGCACCACACTGCCAGCACTTACCCTGACACTCAGGCACTCGCTAATGGCACTGCCTGTACGTTGTGGCACTACACGACCAGCACTTACTCCTGACGCTGAACCTGACACTTATAGTGGCACTTAACCTGACACCTTGAAACTTGCCTAGCGCTTACCTTGTCAGCCTGACACTAGCGCCTGGCGCAGGTGCCTTAACTGTCACTAACGCTAGTTACTGAAACTACTTCTACTTTGTACCAAAAGCACTCCAGTTTTTTCTACCTATGGTTTGCATGAGATTTCTTAGACGTAATTTATGCTGGAATATCAAGACGCAAGCAATATCATATCATTAACTTGTTCCTAGCGTTGCCATTAATCCGTGATGTGCACGTTTTCGCTTGATCGAGATGTGCTTGAGAGTGGAGCGGTAATAAAAATTCTTGATTATTGGCTGTGGTTATAGTGTGATGTGATGTTACAGTGCGGGAGGTGTGGTGACAGTGTGATGTTATAGTGCGGGAGGTGTGGTGACAGTGTGATGTTACAGTGCGGGAGGTGTGGTGGGGAAGTAAGAGGCTGGACTACGCCCTCTACTGTCCTGACGGCCTCGCTAACTTCCCTCCCAACTCCCTGCCCCATCTCTTCCATGCGTCCTTCTGGGAGAGCAGCGACGTGGCGGCCTTCATCCTCCGTCAGGTGGGTGCTGGTGGTGTGCAGTAACGCGTCACTTGTGCACGTAGTGACCCTGCAACGTGTGTAACTGCCGCGAAGTTGAAACACTAAGGTGAAATAGTCGAGGATAGCGTTGTGACTTCGTAGAAGATTTTCGAATGGATTCTAAACGCAAGAGCTAATAGTTGCGCTTTGGTCTGGCTCTTAACTATCTATCGTTTAGGAGGGAAGGAATGAACGAGGTAGAGGTAGATTTTCGTAATATACTGATGGTCTTCATGTGGTGTAGATGGCCTCATGACACAGGTGTACAGATTCTTCTTTCGAAGTAGATACTCTTAGTCCTTTGTTGACAATAATGGTTCTAGACGACTGAATTGCGAGCCCTGAGCATGAATATCAACCAAACGCAAAGCAGCAAGTGACGCGGGTACGAGCCACGCCCAAACGCAGCAAAATTAGGCAGCAAGTGACGCGGGTACGAGCCACGCCCAAACGCAGCAAAATTAGGCAGCAAGTGACGCGGGTACGAACGAACCACGCCCAAACGCAGCAAAATTAGGCAGAAAGTGACGCGGGTACGAGCCACGCCCAAACGCAGCAAAATTAGGCAGCAAGTGACGCGGGTGCCAGCCACGCCCAAACGCTGCAAAATTAGGCAGCAAGTGACGCGGGTACGAGCTGATTAAATTTAAAAAAAAATATGAAAGAGAGATTAGTTTCTTATCGTCTCATATATTTTAAAGTTGGAGAATCGGAGTGATTACTCCACCAATTTTACGTTACGTTCAGGTTCAGGTTCGAGATAACGGTATTCGTTACTTATCGTTTTGTCAGGTGGACGCCGAGTGTCACTTGATTGGCACGTATGAAAAGGTTCTCTTTTTGGAAAGGTTACGGCAAAATAATAGTACAAAGAGAGGGTTGTAATGAAACACTGATACATTTCACATTAAATTGGAAAATTCAAGTTCACATCCTACGTTAACAAAAATCTCTAGTACTTGAAAAATGTAATCTGATCACAACCAAAAGTCCAAAGCCTATCAGTTAACGTCGTTAAAAATCTCCCTATTTACGAGAACGTTGATAAAATGCATTTCCGTTGAGCCGTACGTCCGTTGTTAACGACCGTATTGTACACGCACACTTTGCGGCCGTAGGTTGAGCGGCCGTACCGTTACTGTATTCTCGCGTCCGCTTTCACAGTTGCTCTTTCTTCCTGGCCGTATTTCTCGCGCTATAGTGATGTCTCGCGGCCGGTCTAACCGTAGAGTTTATGATGACCGTACTTTGGAATAGTGGTGCTCGTCTTCATAGTCGATGAAAATACTCCAACTCCGTTGTCGTACTGCGGTCGAGATGACTGTCACCGTACCGCTTCTTCTGATGAAAATAGTGACCGTATCGATGATAATTCTTGGCGTACAGCTCGAAACTTAGATCTTCTGATGACGTGCGTTATAATCGTTGTACAACTCGTGGCTCTCTCGTATTGTCTCACGGCTGAGTCGCAGCCGTAGTGTTGATGTTGATTATCTTGACGTGCTCACCAAACTCTTGGCTGCTTCGATAAGTCTGGGTTTCTCGCGACCGTCAACCGTCAATGTTCGAAAACGGTAACACCGCCGGCCTCACGGTCGCAGCCGTTACGTCCGCTAACTGCAGACCCTACGTGCGCGACGGTCACCTCCTGAGAACCAACAACCCTTGGCGCCAATTTTGAGGTCCTTATATAGGGAGCCGTCGCCCACAGTTAAGCCTATTCCCTCGAAGTGACGCCGCGACGGTTGTGAGTTCCACAAGGTCAGCACCTTTGAGACCCTCGCCGTTTCAAACTATAAACAACCCTCGCTCTCACGGTCTCGAGAACAACAGCACCTTATACAAGCTTTACACAGTTCCACCCCAAATTCCTGTAGCCTTCTCAACACTTTACTCTAAGTCTCTGACTTTCATAACTTTCATAACTCAATTTACGAATTAATTCACCCACAGACTGCGTTCTATAAAATATAATAGAATTTTAAGTCAGAATTACCGACGCTCTAATCATTTCCATTCAACTTCCCTAAAAAAAAGAATCGCGACTTTTTTTTCTAGTGATATTTGTTAATGTTAAAAGCGAACACTTACATTACAATAAATTGATAAAATTAAATTATTCGTGACCACCACTCGTACACATGAATCATTTCTCGACATTCTCAGCAAACGATCATTATTCCAACAAACAAATCGTTAGCCTAATGTCTCACGGTCCCTAAATTCCTTCGTAAACACATGAAAAATGAACATCCTACAAAATATTCACCTAAAACAAGAATTATTCATATCAACTCATGACACGACAACGTTACATTTCTATCAAATAGTCTTCGCACAGACAAGAATCATCCATACAACTCAAACACAATATCATTCCCTATTCACCTCTTGCATATTTTTTACCTTTTACTATATTAAATCATGTTATTCCGAACAACGGATTTTACAACCTATTTATTGCAGAACTAAAGCACTACGTGAGTTTCAACATTTACGGGTTGCAGCGAGAACAAAGTCTCCTGCGTATCTCTTATTTAAGAATCCAGACAGGCAGGTTGGCAAACTAAACACAAAGAAAAAATAAAAAAACCTATCCCTATCTATAACATTTCCTCAGCTTGATCAGTGTGCATTTTCTAGAGCCATCACTCGATCAGAAATCGTTGCGCCTATCAACCGCGCATTATCATGTCAAATCTCCGCCTTTTCAACGGCGTCTCATCATTTCAAAAATCTCTGCCATCCTGGCAAACGAGTAAAACGAGTTCCCTTCCTGGCATGCCTGAATAATTTCCCTAAACATTTCCTCATCATTTCAGTTCTCGCAGAACTATTCAACAAACTTCTTGTAATTCATCATCCTATGCAGCGAAATGAGATCATCACCTCGGTCTTTAATATCTCAATAGAATCTATCGTTTCTATTACCTCTCAAATCCACGTTAGTTTTTATGCCAAACGCAGCAAAATTAGGCAACAAGTGACGCGGGTACGAGCCACGCTCAAACGCAGCAAAATTAGGCAGCAAGTGACGCGGGTACGAGCCACGCCCAAACGCAGCAAAATTAGGCAGCAAGTGACGCGGGTGCGAGCCACGCCCAAACGCCAAAACAGTCACAGTTGCTGAGGGTACGAGCCTCATTACACTGCTGGGAGAAGCGAATGATGTTGGTGCATCACTCGTGCAGGTGGTGCGCCTGTAACGTATCACTCGTGCAGGTGGTGCGCAGCTCCCACATCGGTGCGCCCGGTGACCGCGACCTGCCGGCCCTCGCTCCGACCCACCCTCGGGAAAAGTGGATCAGGAAGCGGACATCCGTCAAGCTCAAGGTTACAGATTGTGTTCTATCATATGATTTACAGGCTGTTATTCAGAGTGTTCTCAGCTAATTTTAGGTCCAGTGATGAACTAATGAGTTATACCTTCCTAAATCATTTCTCCCAATCCCGCTTTGCAAAAACTTATCCTACATATTATCTACATATTGTCCTACATATTATTTCATATCCTACAGATTATTTGCATTCTTTTAATTGAATCATGTTATACTTTCGTCGACGTTATGAGCTCATTTGAAAAATTTGTTTGAAAACGTAAGCTTTGCACATCGTGTTCAAAACTTCACTGATTTCCATCAATATTTGACTTTACTTAACACTTTAACCCTCTATCGCCGTATGTCACTCTCCGGGAACAAAACTTTCAACTTAAATTATACGTAAACTATTGAGTGTAGCAACCTGAGTACGTTTGTACGCAACAGAGAACATTTTAAAGTTGACGTATGAGCGGCAACCATCAGTGCAAGTCATTTTGTGCTCACAAAGAACGTATCCTTTTTGTGGAGCAGGCTTGTGACAATATTGCTCCGGTTACTCTTGTCAGGCGGTAGAGGGTTAAATCTACTTAAAAATATTTAAACCTCTTTTCAAATCATTGATATAGAGCTCATCGCCCACACCAGCTATAAATTCATGTCCGATAAATTCTACACCGGTTCGGCACTAGCGTTCCCCCTCCCCTCATTAACGCTGGTGCATCTTCCCACTAACACCCCCTCACTAGCGCCCCTCTCACTAACGCCCCTCACTAACGCCCCCCTCACTAACGCCCCCCTCACTAACGCCCCCTCACTAACGCCCTCTCACTAACGCCCTCTCACTTACGCCTGTCACTAACGCTGCACCAGAACGTGACAAGCAACCACCGCGGTAACGACGTGCTCGTGCGCTGCGGCGCCCCCCAGACCATCAACGCCCGCTTCATGTACGGCCCTCTGGACATGGTCGCCCTCAGCGGTGGGTGTCGTGCTGGTGTCGTGTGTCGTGGTCGTGCTGGTGCTTGTGCTGATTGCCGTGCTGGGTATGGTGGTGAAGGTCGTGCTGTTGATGGTGCTAAATGTCGTGCTGGGTGTCGTGGTGAGTGTCGAGCTTGGTGGTTGTGCTAAATGCCGTACTGGGTGCCGTGTGTCGTGATGACGGTCGTGCTGGGTGTCGTGGTGAGTGTCGTGCTGGTGGTTGTGCTAAATGTCGTGCTGGGTGTAACGTTTTTTGTTGTGACGTTATGTGTTCAATACGCGCCGTGCAGGAGCTATCGAGCTGCTGGTGTTTGGTAGGCTTGTTAGTTAGTAGCCGTGATCGTGTTCAGCCTCTTGTATTTTATGCCTGTGTAAGTAGGCCAGGATATTTCTTTAGGCTCAATTATCTTCCAGGAAAGATGGTTGATCCAGTCCTAATGATACATAAATTTCATTTAAGGACTAATTATGATCAACGTAATAAGACAATATTATATTTGACAGGAGAGAAGGTAGACATGCACATCATGCGGTCGCCCCCCAACGGAGAGTGGTGCCACGTGGGCTCTCCCATCACGGACAAGACGGGCCGCCTCTCCCACACCCTCACCCATGAGCACGAACTCCCTGCCGGCATCTACCCCGTCAAGATGACCGTCAGGTTAGCCTTCTTCACCCGTCATCACCCCACCTGTCATTACCACACGCGTCATCACCCCTCGCCCGCTATCTCCAATCGCTCTTCAACTCTATTAATTTGTCATCATTATATCTTTCATTGAATCCCTTGCTCATTCACTGTTGTGCATACCACTCCACCCCCACCATCCCTATCACTGCACTCCACCATCACTCCACCACCACCATCTCTATTACTGCACCCCACCATCACTCCACCCCCACCCTTACTCCACCCCCATGTCCCACAGAGGGGACCACACGGGCTGCACACTGTGGCTGGCTGTGGTGCCCGTGGGCACGCACGTGGTGGTGTTCAGCATCGACGGCGCCCTGACGGCGAGCGTCTCGGTGAGCGGCGCCGACCCCAAGGTGCGACCTGGAGCTGTGGACGTCCTGCGCGTGTGGCAGCAGCGCGGCTACCTGCTGCTCTACATTACAGGCCGTCCCGACCTGCAGCACCACAAGGTGTGTCCCGACCTGCAGCACTACAAGGTGTGTCCCGACCTGCAGCACTACAAGGTGTGTCCCGACCTGCTGCTCTACATTACAGGCCGTCCCGACCTGCAGCACCACAAGGTGTGTCCCGACCTGCTCCTCTACATTACAGGCCGTCCCGACCTGCAGCACCACAAGGTGTGTCCCGACCTGCTGCTCTACATTACAGGCCGTCCCGACCTGCAGCACCACAAGGTGTGTCCCGACCTGCAGCTCTACATTACAGGCCGTCCCGACCTGCAGCACCATAAAGTGCTCAGTTTGTTGTTTCAACACTTCTTCGTTAGTCAGCAACTAACCTTTGTACCAGCAGTGGTTCGGTTCAGGTCCCTCTGCCGCGGTTTCCTACAGTGTCGGCTCACTCGTTACTATCGCTGTCCACGAGAAGCAAAGCTATCCACGAGTTTTTGCTGCTGGAAGCAAAGCTATTCGTCCGAAAACTTTTGCTATTCTCAATATATGGGCCCATGAGATCATGGGCATCTCATCTAAGCATACTATTTTCATTATATTGTGTTGATCATTTATCTATGTACTTGTACGTATGTTACAGTTTGTATTAGTGCATCTTACTCCGTGGCGTTAGATAACGTATTATAGCACATGACATAAAATTTTATATCCTGCCGTGCTATACGTATTATAGCAAATGATATAAGACCGTATATCCTGCCGTGTTATACGCATTATAGCACACGACATAAGACGTTATATCCTGCCGTGTTATACGCATTATAGCACACGACATAAGACCTGTCTCTTATACACATCTAGATGTGTATAAGAGACAGGTTTAAGACGTTATATCCTGCCGTGTTATACGTATAATAGCACACGACATAAGACGTTATATCCTGCCGTGTTATACGCATTATAGCACACGACATAAGACGTTATATCCTGCCGTGTTATACATATAATAGCACACGACATAACACGACCTTACCCTCAGGTGCTGTCGTGGCTGGCTAAGCACAACTTCCCGCACGGTTTGCTGTCGTTCGTGGACGGCATCACGACCGACCCCCTCGGCCACAAGGCCTCCTACCTCAGGAGCCTCGTACAGGTCTCGTACTCATGCCTACAGTTGTTCTGTCTTATATACTTTGCTGTCATCGGTAATGCTAGCAATACATTATTATCATTACTCCTTTCAATAATTTGATATCATTCATTATTGCTAGCAATACATTACTATCATTACTCCTATCAATAAATTGCTATCATTTATTTCTGATTTCAGTACATTACTCTCATTCATTACTCTTATCAAGACATTACTATCATTCATTACTCTTATCATCACATTCCTTTTATTATTTGCATTAATTTATCTGTTATTTCCTTCAAGAAAAGATAGAATTATTCAAAGATATGCATAAAGATGTGAATCGCGAACCCTGATTTTCCCATCGATAAATAATTTTATTATCCTGTTACTGAGAGCTTTCTGCTGGAAAGATGAGGTGTGCATTCATACAGAACAAACGTAACGAACAATACAGAAGAAACGTAACTTGATCATTGCAACTTGCGTGCGTGCATGACATGATAGCATAAGCGATAGATGCGTCACCAAATACATTGCGCGTGAATCCTTCACATTTCGATCGAACCATTCATAGTCCAAGTACCGTCAGAAAATCCAGCCTCTTGTAATTTGAGTGGAATCAAGTGAGGATTGTTAAAGGCTTCGGCTGTCGTACTCAATACTTTGTCTTCAGTAAATAGCTTTATTGTTGCACTCTAAACTTTGTCTCAAATAAACACAATGAACTGTTAAACTGTAAAGTTTGTCTCAAATAAATATCTTTCCTGTTGCACTCTAAAGTTTATCTCAAATAAATATATCTATTTTCGCACTCTAAACTTTGTCCCAAATAAAGACAATGAACTGTTACACTGTAAAGTTTGCCTCTCGATAAGAAGACATGACGACCTTTGACTGGTGCAGGACCACGGGGCGATCATCGACGCGGCGTACGGCAGCACGAAGGACATCGGTGTTTACAGCGGGCTGGGGCTCGCACCCGAGCAGATCTACGTGGTGGGCAAGGCTAACAAGAAGCAGCACACTCAGGCGCAGGTGGGCTACAGCAAATCAACGTAAATTGTAATGGCTTTGTCACGTTTAGCAGTCATTATAATACCAGCTTTAATTTATTTATTGCATGCTAGTCTTTCTTATTGATCTCCACGTAAAGTTTGACAGCCGCGTCTTACGTAGTCAGCTCAATAACAAGTATTCAGACCTTACTGCGGTATTAGTAACGTAGGGTGGGGTCTGGTCTGGTGCTGTGGTAAGCCACACGAGTAACACGCAGGACAAGTTCACCGCAATGTTCAGCTCATGGTCAACTCAGCCATTCATCCAACTCTGGTTGATAAATGAGTACCTGGCTTGTCCAGGGTGTTGTGTAATGCAATATAATAGTTCTGGCGGGTCAGCGAGCCAGTGATGGTCGTAGAACTACCAGTGGCATTGATGCCCTGAAGAACTAACCTATCACCTCCCTAGTCGCTACTGCCAGGATGGGCAGTTACTGCAATAGACCAGGTCTGGGTGGCTGCGAGTCAGGAAGTCAGTCGTGTCCTGCTATCCATGCGTTAGGTTCTCTCTGATGTCACTTTTATGCGTCACTATCTTGTTATTCTATGGTAGATATTAGGACGGTGTCCTGATAGCTTCATTAAGCAGCTTATTGTTCTTTCACCCGTCTTAGTTTCTTAGTATAACGTGATTATTTTTAACTGTGATTTTTCTGAATAAAATTTACGTTTTAATCGTTAGCTGTGCTTTGATGAACAACAATCGAGTTCTGTAAAACTCCTTACGATTGAACCGCAACGCAAGACTCAGTGACGTGAATATTTCGACGTGTGTTTGGTCACAGGCGTTGACTCATGTGCATGACCCAGTATTTTACTAACATCTCTGACCCAGTATTTGACTCACATCTCTGACCCAGTATTTGACTCACATCTCTGACCCAGTATTTGACTCACATCTCTGACCCAGTATTTGACTCACATCTCTGACCCAGTATTTTACTCACATCTCTGACCCAGTATTTTACTCACATCTCTGACCCAGTATTTGACTCACATCTCTGACCCAGTATTTGACTCACATCTCTGACCCAGACATTGACCCAGCTATGCCTGCTGCAGGTGCTGGCAGAAGGTTACTCAGGCCACCTGAGTGAGCTGAGTGAGACGCTGCGGGCGGTGACAGTGCCACCACAGCTGGCACTCACGCGCACCTTCTGCAGCCCCGTGGCCCTCCACAGTGCCAGCGTCAAGGGGCACAGGTGATGCTCCTGCTCACTGCTCACTCCTGCTCACCCCTCCTCCTGCTCACACCTCCTCCTGCTCACCCCTCCTCCTGCTCACCCCTCCTCCTGCTCACCCCTCCTCCTGCTCACCCCTCCTCCTTCTCACCCCTCTATCTCACCCCTCCTTGGGTGCAATATTGTAATATTATTGGTATAAAATGTTCTCCCGTTGTTCGTGTTATGCAATATTTTAATATTGTTTGTCTTGCAGGATCTGGGCGTCGTCTTCAGTATCAGGCAGCCCCAGCGCCCGTCGCGGCGACAGCGTCCACTAGTGCTGCGTGATACTGCTGTACACTGTACACTCTTTCTGATATCTGCACACTGTACCTCTGACTTATGTACAGTGCAGCTTTCATCTCTGTGCACTGTACCCCTGACTGCTGTACACTGTACCTCTGACTGCTATACACTGTACTCATAAACACAAGACTGTGCACAGTTCTTGGCTGCCCAGTTCACCTCTTCTTGAAGTGTAGTGTCGTCTTGCGTGGCGTCCATTTTCAAGCGTAGATCTCGCAACTCCTATACGCCAGCATGCAACTGTTATGCGCACTACACGCCAGCATGCAACTGTTATGCGCACTACATGCTAGACATACTACATGCAGCAGATGCAAGTGTATAAACAAGAAACTCTGATTACACCTGCTGCAGGTGCAAGCATCTGCACCTGCATTATCAGCTGCAAGCGCTCATTGCAGATGATGAGAAGGAAGTGAATGTTTCTCCCAGCGCTAAGAATTGTGCTCTTAAATTTCGATGGCTTGACACTTCATTATTTTGTTCAATAATTTTTCTGAAACTTAAGAGGAAAATTCTCTAGCCAAAAAATTTTATGCTAATTTATAATATCTTTTTTAATTCGCGAAGTAATCTCGACATTTTGATGTTGAAGTTTGAGTTTTGGAATTGTTTGTCTGTAATGCTGAATTGGGAAATTGCGTAATTTTTCGAGTTTTGAACTCAACTGTGACCTGAAGATTGTTGTGCTTACCAGAGATTGTGATAATGGATTACTACTTTTTTTTATTTGCAAAAGCTAATATACAAATAGTTTTCTACGTTCCATTTGAAATTACATGAAGAGATGAAATATTAACAAATAAGTATATTTACCTCGTTCACATGAACGTGATGACGAGGTCACGTGAACGTGATGACGAGGTCACGTGAACGTGAAGACGAGGTCACATGAACGTGATGACGAGGTCACGTGAACGTGATAACGAGGTCACATGAACGTGAAGACTAAGTAGTGAGAGTATCGCGTTAGTTCAGTGCCCGGGACCTAAGTAGCTAGTGAGGCTAGGCGGGTTGGTCCCTGCCACGCTTAGCGCTGCGCACGCTTCTAGTTAAGAGGATCCCTACACTCAAAGAAATACATGGGTCTAATTGTCCAAATAGTGATACGCTTATTACTACGTAGCACTGATACGCTTATTTTTCCGGCTTTCCAGGCCGAACTGACTCAGGATGATCCACACCTGGGCCTATACTTTCAAAACTCGCTAAGTGAACGTAAGTACTTACGCTCTATTTTCTTGTCTATGATTGGTGGATTTTGCTTGAAAGGCCGTCAATGATTGGCTGATGAACTTACGATCTCTTGAATTTTTTTGAAAGTATAGGCCCAGGGCAATAAGTGCATCGCTTTTTAGACAAGGTCCCACTAATTTCTTTGGGTGTAGGAACCTACCGACTCTATTACTCAGTGTGTGTTGGTCGCTAGTTAATTAATGTTGAACTAGTATGTATAGTTTATTGAGGGTCCTGAACCAGTACATATATTGTTAGTTCATCTCCTTAGGACGTAGGTAATGTGGAGGCCGTGTATTGTGAGTACAACATTAAATGATGTAGCCTCCTCATTCTTTTCTATTTCTATTTATGATGCTGTAGATACTTTTATTTAATTATAATTTATTTATAAGGACGATAATGTAATATTTTATACTACGTTTAGTGACGAAAGTTTGCTCTTCATTTCCGCTTCTGGTTTGAATTATTGAAATGATCTTATTTGTTAAGAAAATCTCCTTTGAGGAAATGTTGCATTACATTTTGCTAATAAATATAATTTAATTTGTCTGCCAAATATTCGGAGTGAGGTAAAATTTTGTAGCTTGTTTGATTTTATATCTCTTTAAAATAACCTTGAAATTTTAGTGCTAGAAAAGTTTGGAAGTGTTCTAATCAGGACATTTTTTTTGCTTTTAAATATGGCACTTCAATTAGCAGGGAATATTTATGTGATTAATGTGAATAATGAATATTGCCGGCATCACAATCTCATCACAATGCTGGCGTCGTCACAATGCTGGTGTCATACCCCTGGTATAACCATCAAGTTGTACAAAAATGTACTCGTACCAAAATAATTGCTCGTAATTAAATGCCATTTAGTGAGCCATCGTTACCTCCCTCGCCTTGGGCCATTATCATCTTATAATTATTGACATTCCTTCTTTTATGAACATTCCTTGCGTTCGTTGCACTTTCCTGCACTTTTTGCCTGTTCCTCCCGAAGTGTTCACTGTTCCTGCACTGTTCACTGTTCTCGCTCTCTATTCCTTTATATACACGAGTTCGCTGTAGATGAATTAACGAAGCTCGCATTCTTCTTACTTATTGAATTATTCCATTTTTAATTTATTCGGTTTGAATCGTATTTAAGAAGAACTGGATATTGTTGTATTTATTCTTATTAAATTGATTAAATAAAATCGATTGAATTGAGGCTGCAATAGACGAATTGTTTAATAAATCGTTGTACGTTGAGAAAATTATTGTAAGAACTTAAATGAAACATTTCAGCTCATAGACCTGACACGTGTGACACATTTGAATGTGTCATGATCTGACACGTGTGACACATTTGAATGTGTCACACGAAATGACCCGTCGCATTTAACCTCTTCTTTCATAATCAGAGAAATTATCATTATTATTATCACATCATTCTTCTTTATACTGTGAGATTGCAGTCAATATTCCGTGCGCGGCTGTCACGTTATCGCAGATACTCAACTACCGTAGACTCATGGTACCGCAAACACTCAGAAAAATGAGGTAATATTATCCCAATAGCGATGCAATTCTCGTCCTGGTGCCATGACCCGCAGTTCAACTCAAAAAAATATAACTCAGTTATCACTGCAGTGAGTGACAGAGACCGCATTTTCTCGTCGAAGAAAACTTGAGGTCACGGACAGACGGACGGACAGACAGACGGACGGACATGGCGAGCACAATAGTGCATTTTTTCCATAAATGAGAAAAATGCGATAAAAAGCGGGCGTGCTTGTGTTTTGTGCTGGAAGTGTGTCACTATTTGAACAATATGACGCATTAATTTTTAAAAGTGAAGAGTTTGAAATAGAATTTGTGCAACGCTGAGTGACGGTCAGCGTTAGACTAGCCTCCTCCTACTTGTCTTCTAGTTAACTAGTTTGTATATTGAGGAATGTCTATGTATTGAAACAGAATATAGATGAACGTGTATATGGTAGATGTCTCTATATGTTGGAAATATTTAAGAGAGATTTTGAAAGCGCTTAGTTATATACAATAGATTATAAGGAGTAGTTAAGAACAAGCTTGTGTGTCGTGTGTGTCGTAAATTATCACATTTATAATGAGCTTCCCTCTAAGTTAAAAATAAAATATTGTTTTAACAAGATATATCGAGAAGATGAGTCTATTATATATTATAAAACCTTCGTTACAATCGTTCTAATTTTTATTTAATTGATTTATATAGCGTCACTCATCACAGGAAACGTATACAAGTCATCCTGAATAGTTTGTGATTTATTCTAAAAAATTCACAAAAATTTGTTCACCATGTAGACCACAGAGACCAGCATCACATCTTGACTATACAATTAATTTTATTTCTCTGGAATAAAGTCTATTAAAATAAATTCATCGCACGAGTTTATTATACATATAAATGCAAATTATTAAATTGTTGTATTTTAAGCGAATGAATGAATAATGATGGTAATGAATTGTAACAGGAATAAATAATTAGGATCAAACCGTAATATTAAGTGCATTGGAATTTTTTGAATTGATATATTGAGCGATACTTTATTTAGCTTGGCCACGACACCACCCGGGGCGTGCGACATTAAAAAGAGCTTCATTTTCTGGCCGAATTGATTATTTTACAACACTTTATAATTATAATTCTTTACAATACTTAACTATGCTATACAATACTTAACCATACTTAACAAAACATTACAATACTTGACCATACTTAACAATACTTTGAAATACTGTATGATACTTCACAATCCTTAACTATATCACAAGAGAAGTATTGGGCTGGTCAGCGGTAACCTCCCTGCCTCCCCCATCCACCAGCTCTCGCTACCTCCTCCCTATATTTCGCTACAAGAATGTATGGCACACAAGAATGTATGGCACACAAGAATGTATGGCACACAAGAATGTATGGCACACAAGAATGTATGGCACACAAAAATGTATGGGACACAAGAATGTATGGCACACAAGAATGTATGGTCCCCTCAGGGGGGACTTCTAACGCGTGTCTGTGCACGTCAGAAGTCCTATGGGATCTCGCGTTCCTAGGGAGATTGTTCCTGAGTGCCCCACCGCTGAGCTCGCGGTGTCTGACTGCAGGTCTCAGTTGTGGGGTTAAGTTATTATGTAGGTAGGATTCTTTACATTTCCCTTCTCTGTCTCTCTCGTGCGGGCGGCCGACGTCCCGTGTAAGCGACCTCTTGTTCGAGTGTCTTAGTTTCTGTTGCTTTTCACCTGTCCCTCCTTGTTACTTCGTCTCTTTGAGATGCTAACGCTGCTTCTTTCGAGCCAGCTTCAGCGGGCTGGACATCTGAGACCTTCCGCCCCTTGTGGGTGATGAATAATTGAGACCTTCCACCTCTATGGTGATGTTCATCTTGACTTTCGGTGCGAGATAGCTAAATAGCTGAAGCGCTAGTAAACATTTGGCTACTAAACTAACTAACTAACTAACAAGAATGTATGGGACACAAGAATGTATGGCACACGAGAATGTATGGGACACAAGAATGTATGGCACACAAGAATGTATGGCAGACAAGTAGCAAGTAAGCAAGTATATGCTCTGTGATGCTCGACGAATATCATTGTGTTGTCCGTGCAGGACGATGGCTTGCGGCCGCACAGCCGCCCATACAATATAAGTCCTTGAATTTTGTGTTTCATTCCCTCCATACAATGAGGGCAGTGCCTCCATTCCCTCCATACAATGAGGGCAGTGCCGCCACTCCCTCCATACAATGAGGGCAGTGCCGCCACTCCCTCCATACAATGAGGGCAGTGCTCAGAGTTTGATCGCTAGTCTCGCGTCAAGTTCCACTTTCTTGTTAGTTATCAACCAAAAATTAGGACAGGAAACATTGCATTGACTCGACGCTGGCGCTATCCTCTAAAGCCTGTTCGTAGTCTTCATAAAGTGTATTCAATAAGAATTTAAAAGCAAAGGCGACGCAAAGAAATTTAACCATATCTTCTTCACTGAAGACGTTTCTTTCATCAGTTCAAATGAATTTTCTAGAACACTTGCACAATAAGCAGTGAAAATCTAACTATACACGAAAAAGATAAAACCTAAGTAATGAGACAACCACAAAAGGAACTGAACCTAGCGATTGTCGCTTATAATTGGCGGAGGATAAGAAATGCGCGTTATTAAACCTCTACCGCCATGTGTCACTCTCGTTTGTACGCAACAGAACATTTTAAAGTTGTACGTGGCGGCAACCATCAGTGCAAGTCATTTTGCGCTCACTAGACCGTATCCTTGGGAAGTAGGCTTGTGACAATATTGCTCCGGTTACTCATGTCAGGCGGTAGAGGGTTAAGACAAGGTGACCGTGCAAAAGTGTGAACGATTCCAAAATCTTTAAGTTCGAATCACCAAAGATGGATCCGAGTACCTTCAATCGCTCTCAGTCACTGACACGTCGCAGTTTTCAGCGAGAAGACGCCCAGCAGAATGAGAAGGCCTAGAGAGTGGCAGACTCGAACGAAAACTCCTGCCGAGGTGTTCAATATGCCTAATATTAATGGGAATTATGTATAAAAGTATAATAAATTATGGCTTTTTAAGCGAATAAATAATTTTCGAAGAATTGTACTCGTCAGAACGGTAATTACTTGGAAAACATGACTCGTATCATCAGCTACCGCGAGGGTGATAATCGCGTTCAAATGATGAATTTTTCATTAATTATGCAGATTATCAGGTTCCGGAACTGTGATGTTCGCGTTCATTTATAATATTTTTATCATTAGAATAATTTTCAGAAATATTCTTGTTTAATTTAGTGACGGAGTTCAGATCAGTCGTTATACTTTGTGTTCCGCGCGCATCGAAGCCATTCATGCTTGGTGATGAGCCGATCAGCCCTGGAGCTCAAAAGCTGAGATCTCATTTTAATTCAAACTTGATGTGTGTCTTCCACTTTTGCGAATGATTCTTGAACATTAGAGTTCATTTTATTGCAACGGCGCAC